ATTTTATTGTTTTGTTTTGATTTCCAGTCTCCCTTGGGTTACAGTTGTTTGTACACATATTCTTTTTCTGTTTCATTATTAAGCTTTTGGGGAGCAGTTAATGTGTTTTGCTTATCTTGACCTTCTAGAATTTAACTTGCATCCACATAGGTTGTTTTTTTCGTACATAAACTTTTATATCTTGCTTATTTTATGCAACCTTTACAGTATATTTTATATAGTCTTTATAAGTGTACTTTTAACTGTTGTAAAGTACTTTTAAATAATAAATAAACAGAAAACAGATGCGTTTTGTTTTGTATATTTTGTGAGTGCTTTGGTTCTATTTATATTTCCCAAAGTAGAATTAGTGAATTCAAATAGAACAGACATTTAAAAGACTCTTGCTGTATTTTGTTAATGTCTAAGAGTTTTATGGTTCCTGATATGGGGTTGTGGGTTAATGTGACAGACTGCAAAAGCCATTTGAACTGCAAGGTCAGTGGTTCAAGCTCACCAGTGGCTCCTTGGAAACCCTAAATAGGGTTGCTATGGGTAGGAACTGACTAGACGGCACTTAACAAACAATAATAAGAGGTTTATTGGCTATGGTAGGAGGAATCTTAAACTAGACTTCAAAGATTTCCCACCAATAGGGCCATTATGAGTCCTAATCACATAGGTGGCAGTAGGTTTGGTTTTTGTTTTAATTCTCAGGACTATTAATATGATGCAAGGAGCTCCGGGAGTGTAGTGGTTACTACTTATCTCAAGGTCAGCAGTTTGAAACTACCAGATGTTCCACAGGAGAAAGATGAGGCTTTCTGCTCCTGTAAAGATTTACAGCCTCAGAAACCCTATATAGGGTTGCTGGTGTTGCGAAACCAAAAGGAGGGTTTGCCACCTGTCACTATAGTCAATCAGAGATGGGGAGAGATCCAACCCAAGATTTATTAACAGAAAGCTAGCAGTCTGGAGGATGGAGAGAATATTTTCTCAAGACTGTCCTGTCAATTATGAAGAGCAGGCACATTATATAGGGTAAGTTACATTTGGATGTACTTTAACATCAAGATAGTATTCTTTGGGGAAAGGAAACAATAAATCAATAAACTTCCTCAAACATTCAACTTTTAGGGTCTCAGCTGCTTAATTCCTTAATTATAAATGTACTTTAAACTGTTGTAAAGTACTTTTAAATAATAAATAAACAGAAAACAGATGCGTTTTGCTAACTACCTGGGTGGGTTTAAGCACATTTGTTCTCCTTTTCCTGTTCTCCTTCTAGGACCATCAGGTCATTTTAGCTAATTTTTAAACGTCGTCTTTTTCAGGGGCCTCATTTGAGACTTAATGACTAAACATTTTGTTTAGCTCGGTAGATCCATGCTATCTATCACTATGAATCAGAACCAACTCCACGGCACACCACCACCAGCCACCACCATTAATAGGATGTGATATCTTGCCTGTTACTTTATAATAAAAAGAGATTATCTGGGTTGGCTTAATCTAATCACACAAGTCCTTGAAAAGCGTAGAATTTTCTCCAGCAGATGGCAGAAGGGAAAGTCAAAATGATTTTGTTATAGATTGAATTGTGTCCTGCCAAAATGAGGGCACCTCAAATAGTTTGTAGGAAAATGTAGTTAAAAGGTAATGAAAGTTTTCCAAGAATTTTTTGAAGCTTCCTTGTATGTTTTGTAAATCCTAACCTTTATACCTGTGGGAGTCCTAGTGTGGCACTTGGGTTAATGTGGCACTGTGGCGCTGGACTGCAAAGTTGGTTTGAACTGCAAGGTCAGTGGTTCAAACTCATCAGTAGCTCCTTGGAAACCTTATGTAGAGTGGCTAAGGGTTGGAACTGACTCGATGGCACTTAACAACAACAACAATGCCTGTGGTTATAACACCATTTTGGAATAGGTTGTCTTTGTTATGAGGCCAATTAGTGCAGGGTGCACCTTGAGTTATTTTCTTTTTAGTTATAAAGGAGGTTCAAACAAACAAACCAGTGATGGGGGATGATCAGTGACAAGCCACATGCAGGAAACAGGCAGAAGAACAAGAACCATCGCCCAGAGTCAGCAGAGAGAAAGCCTCCCTCTAGCGATAACATCCAGATTCTAACCAGGGACCTTGGTCCTATAGCCTCAAGACATCAGAACAAGCTTGGAAAGGGGTTCTTCTCCAGATCTTCCAGACGATAGCCCAAGTAAGGATGGAACGATTAGAAGAAATAAGAATTGCTGAGTCACACAAACAGACTGGGTCTGAAATCAGTGACTTTGGGCAATTATAGATAAAGAAACTAAGATCTCCCTGTAAATATTTTGCATTCTTATTATAAACCAATAAGACAGCAAAGATGACTCAGTGTAATCTAACCAGGATAATGTTGTTGTTGTTAACTACCGTAGAGTCGGTTCTGACTCATAGTGACTCTACACAGTGTTTCCGAGGTTGCAAATTTTTACGGGAACAGAAATCCTCATCTTTCTCCTGCCGAACAGCTGGTAGTTTTGAACTGCTGACCCTGAGGTTAGCAGCCCGATTCGTAACCACTATGCTGCCAGAGCTCCTTGAATGATGCAAAATTGTTTTTTGCTTGGGAACCCATGTCTCCCTCACTCTTAGCCTATAGAGTTCCAGTGCATGTGACATTGTCTTCAGCAGGGTTGTGTATATAACAGCGTCTACCTTTGTTCCCTTTTAACTCTTGCCTTCTTCTTTGTGTCTTCATCTGCCTTGATCATTCTTCTGCCAACCTTCCTCTTATTGTATATTGCCATGCTCATCACCCAAGTTAACATGTGTCTACCCTTGAACCTGGTCTTCGTGTGATGCTGTAGGATAAGCACTGGCCAGTAAGTGCAAGGTTGGCAGTTTAAACCTACCAGCTGCTCTTCAATTTATCCATTCTTCCTTTGATGGACATTTAGACTGCAATGAACATGGGTGTGTGTGTGTTTGTTGTTATTATGTGCCGTGGAGGCGGTTCCGACTCATAGAGACCCTGTACAGGCTTTCCGAGGCTGTAAACCTTTATGGGAGCAGAAAGCCTCATCTTTCTCCCGCGGAACAGCTGGTAGTTTCGAACTGTTGACCTTGCAGCTCACAGCCCGATTCGTAACCACTACGCTGTGTGTGTGTGTGTGTATGTGTGTATAGTATATATACACACATATATATATATATTTGTGTCAAGTAGAGGAGTTGCTGGGTCATAAGGTATTTCTCTTTCCATCTTTTTGAGGATGTGTCACACCATTTTCACAGTGATTGCACACCATTTTAGAGTCCCACCAGCAGTGTATAAGTGTTCTAATCTCTCAACACCCTTGCTAACCTTGGTTGTTGTCTGGTTTGTTTGTTTTTTTTAATTTGTTACGAATGCTAACATGATATCTTATTGTGGGGTGTTTTTTTTTTCTTTTGGTATCATTTTATTTTAAAATCAACTCTTAAGAAAAGTCAAATACTTCATTTTTCTATGCAATCTCCTTGCTTTCCAATACATTTTGTCCATCTGTCCACAAGCTTCTGTATTCCTTTATTACAAAATGTTGTAGATTGATCTGAGAAACATGAATGCACTGCAGTCTTCACTTCTTCATTAGAGGTTAATCTTCTTCCAGGAAAGGCTGCTTTCAGGACAATAACAGCTGAAATTCCCATGGAGCAAGATCAGGTCAATAGGGAGGATGCTCTAACACAACAAAAGGAAGGTTTTGCAGAGTGTCAAGTGTATAGGCACAGGTGTGTGGATGTGCACTGTCAAACAAGATCACAATGATTTCAGATAGCATTCCTCTGTGTTGAATCCAAAGTTTGTTGTTATGTGCCGTGGTGTTGGTTCCAACTCATAGCGACCCTGTACAGGGTTTGTGAGGCTGTAAATCTTTACGGGAGCGGAAAGCCTCATCTTTTTCCCATGGAACAGCTGGTAGTGTCGAACTGTTGACCCTGAGGTTAGCAGCTCAATTCATAACCACTACGCTACCAGAACTTCTTAATTCAAAGTTTAGGCTTCATCTTATCGGGAAGGAGTACTGTTGTACTGAATCTTTTTCCTGTTAGTGTTGTTAAATACCATGGAGTTGGTTCCCACTCATAGTGACCCTGCACAGGATTTCTGAGGCTGTAAATCTATACGGGAGCAGAACGCCTCATCTTTCTCCTGCAGAACTGCTGGTAGTTTTGAACTTCTGACCTTGAGGTTTGCAGCCCAACTCATAATCACTACGCTACCAGAGCTCCTTGAGAATCCCACAAAACTGAAAAGTCTCAATTTTCTAGCTGTTGGTTGATTTTTTAACTTTTTCTTAGTTGGCAATTGAGAATGTTTCCATTCCATATTCTGCCTTTTATTTTCAAACTTGCAGTGATTTTTAAAATTTAAAAAAAAATTTTTTTTACCAGTAAGAATATTTCCAGAAACGTTTACATTTTTTCAAGTATTGGTTAAAATTTTGCATACAGATATGTTTCTGCTTATGCACTTCTGTGAGTTGTTTCGGTACCCATTTTGTACAAACTTTTCAAAACCCAAGTCTGTCGTGGATTATTTCATAGGCTGAGCCAAAAAATCCACTGTCACTCGTTTATTCAACAGAAGCATTTCATGTGCACACTCAATGTTGTTATCAGCTGTGGATGTGGACAGGAGCTTTAATAGAACACAGACGTGGGAATGCCTTGGAGGGTGGACCTCTGGTTTGTGATACAGTTTGACTTCAGTCTGCTCCATCCTCTCTGTAGCTGACTGCTCCAAATCTTGAGGTTTCTAATTCCTTCAGTGCTTTGTCAGTTTCTGCAAACGTCATCCTCTGGGATGAGTTGGGCTTTATGCTTACACTTGTGTGGCCTAGTCTCGGCCTTGCTGATGCTCTTTGGGGTGGCTACAGAATGCCATGATAGCTCTCCTTCCACTCTGCTTCCACTCAAGGGATTGGGGAAGTCTCTCTCCTGACCATCTGTGTTTTTAATCCCGGGCCTCTGACCAGAATCCTGCTGGTCAGTCATCTTCTGAGAACCTGGTCTGGAAGCCCCTGAATAGAAGGGACACTCTGCACACAAGGAAAGCTCTGAAGTACATGTTGGTTGAAAATTTGCTGACAAGAGAAAGCCTGAAGGCAGGAGAAACAGTGGTAGGTTTCTGGCTTTGGTTCCAATGAAAGAAGATTCTGGTATATCTCAAGCATTACTTCTTTGTACAGATTCTTCTGCTCAGAGCTCATTCTCTTCCATTCTGCTTTGGTATTTGGGGGCTTCCTCTTCTCTTGATTGCAGTCAATAACCTTAAAAGACAAACCTTTGGCCTTTTCTGTTTGAATCCATTTTTTCCTGATCTCCATATGGTCCTTGTCTTTTGAAGCCAAAAACTTACCCAGTCCAGCTGCTCCTTGGAAGCCTTATACCTGGTCGCTATGAATCGGAAGCAATTCAATGATACTTAAAAACAACAATACATCAAATAGGTAGTGGTCTTCGGTGCTGTAGGCCACTTCAACAGCGCATTGAAGAAGACTGTCTCTTACTGTAGTTTTGATTTGCATCTCCCTAATGACTAATGATCATAAGCATTCATATGTTTTTTGTCTGCCTGAATGTCTTCTTTGGTGAAGTGTCTGTTCATGCACTCTGCCCATTTTTGAATGGACTTATGTCTTCTTTGGTTCAGTTGTTGAAGTTTTCTACAAATTTTAGAGATTAGTACTTTGATAAGTTATTGCCGAAAGTTTTTTACAAGACTGTGAGTTCTCTTTTTTACTATGTTGGTAAAATCTTTTGTTGCATATAAGTGTTTAATTTTTTGGAGGTCCCAGGCATCTGTTTTGTTTCCCACTGTTTGTGTGTTTCTAGTTATGTCTGATAGGGTATTTATGCTATGTATCAAGGACAAACCCTATGTTTGACCCTATTTTTTCACTGATGGTATTTATAGTTCTAGGCTTTACATTTCTACCACTCATTTGTCAGTTTGTCACACTGCGGTGGCTTGCATGTTGTGATTCTGGAAGCTACGAACACTGGCATTTTAAATGCCAGCAGGGCAAACCATGGTGCACAGGTTTCAGCAGAGCTTCTAGACTAAGACAAACCAGAAAGAAAAAGAGACAGATGGCCTCTGACTGATTAGTCACTGAAAACGATGTAATGTATTAGGCAAATCTGCAGAAAATATCCCTTTAAAAGTGTTTAAGAGCAAAGATATGTTTGAGGACCAAAGTGGGCTTAACCCAATTGCCTCATATTCATGTGAAAGTTGGACAATGAATAAAGAAGGCCATAGAAGAATCAACGCATTTGAATGAGGTTGTTGAAAAAGAATATTAAAAGTACCATGAACTGCTAGAAAAATAAATAAACCTGCCTTGGGAGAAGTGTAACTGGAATGTTCCTTAGACGTGAGAATGAGGAGATTTATCTCTAGTACATTGGACATACTATCAGGAGTGACCAGTCACTGGAGAAGGACATCATGCTTGGAAAAGTGGAGGATTAGTGAAAAAGTGGAAGACTCCCAACAAGATGGATTGACACAGCGGCAGAAACAATGGGTTCAGATGTGACAGCAATTATGAAGATAGTGCAGGACCAGACTGTTTCGTTCTATTGTGCATAGGGTTGCTATGAGTTGCAATGGACTAACAAAAACAAGGTTTTACACCTAGGTCTTTGATCCATCTTGAGTTCATTTTTTATTATGGTGTGAGATATGGGGTCCTGTTTCTGAATGAATTTAGTATTATTATCATAGGTCAGGTCAGCATCTTACATTATTTCATCAACTCCAGTGTCTTCATGGAATGCCCTCTGTAACCTCTTTACTTTTTCAAACAAGTCCAAACAGAAATCTTCATCCCATGAAACCACTCCCTGTTGTTATTGTTAACTGTGGACAAGTCAACCCTAACTTAGGGCAACGGCATGTACAATGAATAGAGTGTTGCTGGTCCTGAGACATTCTCCTTGTAAATGCTAGGGTTCTGTATCAACTGAACTAGGCCAGGATTTCCAGAAATTTAGCAGTAGAGATGTGCTTTCCCCCATGGTGTTGAAACATAATACAGGCATAGTTAACTCTATGATGAGTGGCTATGAGCAGCTAATCACAAGGATGCTTCCTTGGTGGGGTGACCCGTTCTAAATATAATGGACAGGTGGGGAAGTCTCTCCCTCTCTTCCCCTTGGGACTTGGGACTCTACAACTGTAAGCCATTTCCTTGATATTAAACTTCTCTTTATATATGTTATTTTTATGTGCCATTGAGTTGGTTCTGACCATAGCAACTGTGGTATAGGGTTTCTGAGGAGTGGCTAGTGATCTTGAACTGCCAACCTGCTGTTCAAACCGACCTTGTAGTCCAGTGCATTAACCCATAGCACATGCATATATATGTTTCCCTGGTTTTGCTTCTCTAGAAAACCTGGTCTAAGACACTCATGATCAGATAAGTATCAGAGTATTGTCATCCATAGGGTTTTCATTGGCTGGTTTTTGGAAGTAGATTGTCAGCTCTGTTTTTTTTTAATCTGTCTTAGTCTGGAAGCTTCACTAAAACCTGTGAAACATCATAGCAGCACAGAGGTCTCCACTAACAAGTGGCTGTGTATTAGATGCACTGGCTGAGGATCAAACCTGGGTCTCCTGCATGGAAGACAAGGATTCTACCATTGAGTCTTCACTGTAGCCAACTACCTCCTGTGTACTTTATCTAATGTGCAGATCTCTCCCCTACCCCATACCATTGACACACAGGGCCAATAGGAATGCACTGTATTTATTCCATTTACAGCACATAGTTAATTTCATGACATAACTGTTTTGTATATGTAAGCCTTGTCTTCTTAAAATCCAACTCAGTTGTACAAATATTTCTTGATTGCCTAACAAGCACTAGCTAGCTTAGTGTTAGGTTCCAGAAAGTAAACAGTATCTCCATTAAGGAATAGCTAGCCCTTTAGTGAATACAGTTGGGTATTCGAACTATTATATCACAATATGATATGAAAAACTGTGTATGTAGAGTATTTGGGTAGTAGCAGAGATATGGGAATGTGATTAACCTTCACTAAGGTGGAGGGAGAGTTCCCAGGAAACATATAAAGGAGTGTGATGTTAAAGGATGGCCGGGAAGGTGGGGAAGAATATTCTAAATGGAGTGAACAACAAGTTGTGTCAAAGGACATGAGATAACAAGGATACCATCCTGGAGAACCTAAGAGCAAGTCAGTGCTGTTGGAGTATAAATAAGGAAGCTGGGAAATAAAGACCAGGAAATCACAGTAAATAAGAGTCAAGACAGGGACAGATTTTACCTTAGTAAGCTTTGAAATGTCATAATCAGTGTAGGTGATAGGGAAGTCTTTGGAGGTATTGTCCTGGGATGTAGCATCTTGATGGATCTTAGAAATAACCCTTGGCAGCAGGCTAGAGAATAAATTGGAGGGAAAAGAGATTGAAGTTCAGTGACAAGTCAGGAGGAAGTAAGAATGGTCTAGATGAGAAAGATTGGAAATCTGACTGAGGCTGCGGTGGTGGAAGTGAGAAGACAGTCTGGCTTGATTTCTCGGGGAAAAGAATTTATAGTTGTTAACACTAACTTAGACACTGAAGGTAGGAAGTTGAAAAGGAGAAATGTCAGCACCCCTTTTATTGGTTTCGTAGATCTACCTTCTTAAAGGAAAAAAGAAACCAAAAAAATCCCAAACCAGTTGCCATCATGTTGATTCTGAATCACAGTAAGTTCTTGTGTATCAGAGTAGAACTGTGCTCCGTCGGGGTTTCAAAGCTGTCATCTTTCAGAAGCAGATTGCCAGGACTTTCTTCCTATTTTCCTAGCTGCTTCTGGGTGAGTTTGAACAACCAACCTTTGATAATTAGTAGTTAAGTGCTGAACTGTTTGTATCACTAAGGACCCCTCATGCATAATAGTTGCTATTGGGTGCCATAGAGTGGGTTCCTAGTCATTGTGATCCCATGTGATGGAGCAGAACTGCCCCATAAGGTTTCCTTGGCTGTAAAATCCATATGGAAGCAGATCACCAGATTTTTCTTCTGCAGGGCTGCTGGGTGGATTCAAACAGAGAACCTGTTGGTTAGCACCTGAGCACTTAACCATTTGTACCTCCAGGGCTCCTTCTAAAGCATAATCTTAGGCATGTGGGAGGTACTCAGAAAATTTTTTTTAAGTAAATCAGTCCCCATAGCATTATCGAGCCTTGATTTACATTTGTTTCCAATCTTAAAATTACTTTCTGTTAACTAGAACCTCCCAACCTCTTACTCAGATTCTTGGGGTTTTTAAATTCTATAAAGATTCTCTTACATTTTCCAAGGTATTTTCAAATAGAAAACCAAAAAATTGACTTTGTTTTTCAACCACCTATTTATCTATTTAAACAGCCATTAGCAGAGCATTCAAAAGAAATCTGGATATAATCTGACATGACTAAGAACAAAGAAGGGAAGATGTCAAAGTTTCCCAACACACAAGCATGAGCCTTATTTTCATTACAGGTCACATAGAGTAGCAATACAATTTTTCTTATTATTCAAGGTCATCTTGACGTCGCTCAACTTTTAGCTAAGTATCAAAACAAAAATTTTTCTTAGAAAACGATTTCTAGACTATAGAAAAGAATGGCAAACAGTCTGTCTGAGTACTAGAACTATCAAGGAAAATGAAGAGTACATTATTAACAACAATGACTTGTTTCCACTGTAAGAGATGAAACGCAGTCTTCGATTTATATGGTGGCTTTATTACATGCAGTCTTACATATTTCCAAACACTGAAAAGGGAACTATTAGGCCTTCAAATCGATTTTGAACAGATGATTTTAAATAATTCAAAGTCTTGGAAACCTATCATATATGTTATTTTCTTATGTGTGATACTGAAGTGATTTTTATGTGTGTGCTTTCTAGAGAATTTCTTTTCAAGGAGTCAACAAACACGGCCAATCTGTTGGCCCTATCTGGCCTTGATATTTGCTTTTGTACTGCCCTGAGCTAAGTCTAGTTTTTACATATTTAGATGTTTGAGAAAATCAAAAGAAAATCAAAAGAAGAATATTTCACAAACATGAAAATCATTTGAAATTCTAATTTCAATGCCCATAAAGTTTTATGGAAATGCAGCCACGCCTATTCATTACATATTGGCTGCTTTTGCACCACAGTGGCAGACTTGAGCTGGTGTGGCAGAAACCATTTGGTCTGCAAAGTCTAAAATAGCTATGATTTGACCCTTTACAGAGAAAGTTTGCTGACCCTTATTTTAAGGACTTTTCTTTAAAGAAACCAATAAAAGAAAGACTGTCTTTAGGGAAATTTCCTATGTCATTGATACAGTATATTCAAAACACAGGGAATGTATGAATTTAGTAAAGATAATTCAGTTTGTCAAAATGATATGGCATCCCAGAATAATAGACATGCCTTTATTACGTACAGAGCACTTCTCTTCCCACTGCCTGTAACTTAGGATCAGGATAGCATAGTTATGAGCATGCACTTAGGTCGTATTTTTCTTGAATCTTGCTCTGTTATGTCAAGAAGCTGATCCATTTTCTGTGAGCTTAGGCCAGTTATTTAAGCTCTTGTAAGCTTTGACTTCTGGTAAGAAGAGGCAATAATAATACTAACCTCAGGGAATTATGGTTAGCATTACTATTATGGTGAGTGGTAAGTAGGGTTTGTTTATTGTTGTTTTTGAAGTGGCATTGTTTAACTCAGTACCCGGAACATAGTAGGTACACATTCTGTTTTATTATGATTATCATCTGAAAATGACACTTTTCAGCTCCTTGTGTTTCACTCCTCGTACTGCCTAGAACTTGCTTTGGCAGGGAACTCTTTCCAACACAGTGATTTTGTACAGCAAGAGCTCTGATGTCTAAATTACTATCTGCAGAAAGCATCTTCCTAGTTGTACTAATCCAAGAGGGCACTAGACAGGAGGGTGGCAGAAGGGAAGCCTAGGAGGTCTAGAAACTAAGATAATAGCCATCAAGAGTGTTGGGGTTGTTCCTTTAGACTCTGTTCCAATTTCTTCCATGGAGAGGTCTCCAATCCATCCTGGACCACTAAATCAGTTAGCAGCTTAAGTCTTGTATTAGAGTGTTAAATCAATACTACCATTTTCCTTTTATTACTTAACGTTTTAACTGAGATTTCCTTCCAGAAAAACACTAAGAAACTCATATGGAGTATGTAATGTTATGATTCTTGGAAACCCAGTGGCTTTTCTCCTGGGGTGTGTGGCTGCCTGTCAATCATCTGAAGTTGCTCTACTTCTAGAATTATCAGGCCTCTGCCTCACTGTTGGTCTACATGGTGGTCTACGGTAAGTTGACACCTGGCATGAAAGGGAGACGCCTCTCTCCTTGGCCCTTGCAGAACCAATCTCGGCCTAAAGTGAACTAAAAGTAGAGAAACATAATCCCCTAAATCAAAAAACCCTTCTGCCCTCACACCCTAAAAATGATTCAAAGAAATATCCAAATTCTAGCAGGCAGAAGATAGTTCCCAAAATACAGTTTGCAGGAAGAATTCTCATAGATCCCCCTGCCCTGTTTTTAAATCACTTAAACCAATATGTAGAAATCTCACTTGTTTGTATGACCCACATTTTGTGTCTTGACAAATTGTTTTGAAGGGAATGTCTCCGAACTTTATCCATGCTCCTTAATTATGGTTGACCAGGAACTGTTCATTGATTTTCGCCACCCAGAAGGAAAACAAAATATTTTATAATTCTACCATACTCTGTTCAGACTCATGACGAGGAACGCAAATACAAACACTCACACGGGGTTATGAGTGTGTGGATAAAAGCAAGCACAGTAATGCTCACACAAGTCTGTGAGTGGTATGGGGCTGGGATGGTCTTTTTTACTTGTAGGAATAGCTCTCATCGTCGTATTCCAGCTCATTATCATCATCATCATCATCCAGCAGCCCATATTTAAATTTCCGGTAGACGGTGCCATCTTGGCCCATGTAGACGATGTCATCATCATCATCATCATCATCATCGTAGTCCCGGTCCCTGTACTCAATCACTTGATCCTCTTGAAAACCGGTGCTTTCACGATAGCTGCTCTTATAGGAGGAGTAAGCCTTATTTGGATCAGCCAGCTTTTCATAGCCACCCTTTTCTGCTGGCTGGGCTCGGCCACGTGATTTCCTCCAGACAACCACTGCTGCCCCAACCAGCAGCACCAACATAATTGAGGAGGTGATGAACAGAGCCGTCCTGGAACTCCCAGCGGAGGGGCCAATCTCACTTTTTCGAAGGATGCACTCAGCTATTGAGGGTGACCCCAAAGGATGAGGAGAGAGTTGTGGGGAAGACAAAATATGAAGAAAATTAGTTTCTGAGGTAATTAACAAAAATTATGATAAGTTTATAGGTAATAGACTATTTGCATTACTATAATCTTTACTTGTATATTTCAGTGGCATTAATTCAGTGGCACTATTTTATTCAACAATCTTCATTGATTGTTCTTCAATTTTTCCATCACTCTTTAGAAGTTCAATGTCCCCTAAACATTATCTGTTCCCTTCTGCCTTACTCCAGCCCACCCATGGAAGCTCCTATTTGTCTTGTTTTTCTCATTAAAATATGTTAAAAACAATTATTGTAGTAAAGTATGTGTAACAGAAAGTTTGTCACTTTAATAATTTTAAGTGTACAATTCAGCGACAGTAATTCTATTAACCAGGTTTTGCAATCATCATTGCTAAGATTTTACATCACCAGAAACTGAAACTCAATTCCACTTCAGCAATACCTATCCATTCCCCTCCCTCTCAACCCCTGGTAACCACCAGTAAACTTTTGTCTGTATGCATCTACCTAATCTAGATATTTTATATAAATTGATGTTGTTGTTAAATGCCATTGAGTTGGTTTTGAGTCATAGCAACCCTGTACAAGGCTTCCAAGGAGCAACTGGTGGGTGTGAACTGCTGACCACAATCCAATGCTGATTCTCATATGGTGGTGGTGGTGGTGGATATGTGCTGTGGAGTTGGTTCTGACTCATAGTGAACCTGCATAGGATTTCCAAGGCTGTAAATCTTCACCAGAGCAGAAAGACGCATCCTTCTCCTGTGGAATGTCTAGTGGTTTCAAACTGCTGACATTAAGGTTAGCAGCCCGATTCATAATTGCTATGCTACCATTTGTGCTTTTGGTCTGATTTGTTTCACTCAGTATGATGTTTCCAAGGTGCATCCATGTCATAGTACATATGAGAATTTCATTTATCTTTATGGTTGAATAATATGCATTGCATATATATTGCCTTTATTTAAATTTTTTTAAATGGTAGAATCAATGTCTGATTATCTTAGAAGACATATTGCTCTATGAAATCACAATATATAACACATGAGAGCCATTGTGTAGTTAATGATATCAACAAATCCTCCTAGGAAGATTAGTTTGAGTTCCAAAAGGAATCCCTTTAGTCCCCAAATTTCATGGTTTTTCCTCAAGAGTCCAATCTTACCAACAGATTCTTCTTTCTGTGTTCTGAGAGAAGCTATTTTAGCTTGGACAATCCTTCAGCTATTGATAAATGTTCTATTTTCTGTCCCAACTCTGAATTTTCCTGAGTCCTCAGGATACCTGTCCCCCTCTACCTACTTGCCTGATCCACATATGACAGTCTGACCAGTCAAAGGCAGAAGCAGAGTATATATATAAAACCATTGAATATTATATTATAGTTGTGTGAAGCTTACAGATTACTTAGGCAAATCTCCTTGTTTGACAGTTGAGGCAACTGAGAAAGGTAGTGAATTGACACCTAGTCAGAGACAAGATCTGGTAGTGGTCCAAACAGAATTCAAACCCAGGAACCCTAACTCCTTTCTACTGCCTAGAGATATTCAAGCAAAAATCTCTGGCAATTCTTTCATGGCTCTTGGCTTCTGTGGCCTCAGTCTGACAATAAGAAAAATAGGATAAGCATTGGACTATGAACTACAAGGTCAGCAGTTTGAGCCCACCAGCCACTCCTTGGGTAAAAGGTGATTCTTTCTGCTCCCACAAAGATTTATAGCGTCAGAAACCCTATACAGGGTTACTATGAATCCAAAGCCAATTGGTGGCACTAAACAACAGCAACCAAGCTGTACAATGTACGATGGGGGATTTCTTTTATTATAATTAAGGTTTCTGAAGTTGAGAGCTCTGCCCTTACAAAGTTATGACCCCATCATCCATTAGTTTCTGTTTTGATGCTTTAATTAAGGACATGGACTAATCCAATCATTGCCACAGAAGGAATAAACCATGACTCCAGCAATAAACTTGCTCTATTATTTTTTTAAACTTTATACTCTTTTATATAGGTTACACTGTGATCTGGGCAAGTTATCTAGCTTGTTGTTTTCTTTAACCCATTAAATTAGGAGTATCAACAACTAGAGTGTGGAGACAACATGTTGACTATGTACAAGCTGAAATATACAATAGATTGCCTATAAATATTGTTTGACCTGGATATGCCCCCAGGATTCTTTTATGATAGATTCCAGGTTTATTATACATATTAGCTTAATGGGTATAATACTGCTGCAAAGTGCAATTCTTTTTGCTCATTAGATATTGACCAATTAGATCTAATTCATCACCATTATATATTTTTCTATCTTTTTGCTAGTGCTAAACAAATTTTCTATTGTGGCACTGGGATAATGCAGTGGACCACAAGGTCAGTTTGAATCCTGAGGTCAGTGGTTCAAATTCACCAGTTGACCTTCGGGAATCCTATACAGGGTCTCTATGAGTCAGAATTGACTTGATGACACTTAACAACAACATCATATCTGCATAGTCAGGGAAAGTCTCTGCAATCTGGTTTCTTTGAAGGGGCAAAATGTCACAGTAATTCAAAGAGTTTAGACTTCTGCAGAGTTGTTCCAGATGGATCTCCAAGAGCCACAGAGGAGCCAAGAAATCTGACTTCACAGTTCTTAGTGCGGAAACTCTTCCCCCCATATACACACACTTCTGATTTCATTTAAAGACATTGTTAAAATGAAAGTTATTCCTGACTAACACAGCACAGTGGGCCCTGAAGGCAATCAGACCCTGAAGGCAGATGTGTATAGGGTGTTGGGAACTCACTGCTGGTAGGGTGGGAATGCTGGTTTTGGATATTTTGGAATAATTAGTTTTAGAAAGAAGATATTTAGAAAATAGTTTAAAAGGCTGATTAAAACTTTGAAAAAGAAAGAAATTGCTGGTGGCAGTTATGGGTCTGGGATGTTCTTCACATGTAAATGGACCAGTTAATTGCCATCAAGTTGATTCTGACTCTTGGGAACTCAAACCTTCAACCTTTGGTTAACAGTCAAGCATGTTAAGAATTTGCATCAGCAATGGACTCTATATAAATTGACAGACTTTCATAAACATGACATCTCTTTTTGCCAGGCGATGGTAAATTTGAATTCCTAAGAAATCATCTATTTCTGGACTAGAGAATATACTTTAAGAATATGTATTTCCATTTTCATCAGGAATAACTCTATTCTGTTTTTTTTCAGTTTGTGGTCAATAAGGACCAAGTACTCATGTAGATGGAGTTGGGTAAGGAGACAGTTGGAGAACTGGAACTTGGTAAAAGAGATTTAGTTTCTCCTTAGCTCGATGGCGCTTAACAACAACAACAAGCTTTAAAGGAAAGGTTATTAGTTTATTTGTAAAATGCTTTAAATCTCTGGAGAAGGCCTAGATTTGAGCTGATTTCTCACAAAATAATTATTCAACAGAATTAAGACACTATGGGGCTTCACCTTCCTTGATCATTGGTTCTTTTCCTTTTGCCCATAGGGAAAGAATACAAATAAGAACAAAATAAATGCATAAAGATGAGATTGTAGATCTATCTGAGTAGGTCTTCCAGTAGTGAAAAGAATGTGAACTTTGTAATTCAAAGGACCTGCATTCTAATTCCAGATGGGCCTCCTAACTTTGGTATGTATTCAGGGAGGCTACTCATCCTCTTGGAGTCTCATTTGACCTCATCTGTAAAATGGGACTACTATCTATTTGGAAAATGAGTTGAGGGTCATGAAATTTCAAGTATAACAGGTACATAGCAGGCACTCAATAAAAAGATTGTTGTTGTTAATTGCTGTCAAGTCAATTATGACTATGGCAACCTCGTATGTGCAGAGTAGAACGGCACCATATGCTTTTTATGCCTGTGACCTTGTTGAGGTCCACCTGGGTAGGTTTGAACCTGTAACCTTTTCATTAGTAGTTGAGCACTTAATTGTTTGCACCACCCAAGGACTTCCAATAAAAAGGTCACCAAATTGATTCTCCTAAACTGCTCCCTGCTCCCATCAACTTCCTGAAGATCGTCCCTTCCTCTCCTCTCACCCATGGTGTCTTGGCAGTCACAACACTCCTGATTGTCAGTAGGATCAGACACATTACAACAGTGGAGGCAGCGGTTGTCATCCATGTGTAGCACCAGGTGGGCAGGGCACATGGTGCAATTCTTGTCTCCAGGTCCCTTGCACTCCGTACAGCTCTCATGGCATTTGTCACAGTTAAATTTCTCTCCCTGTAAAGAAAAAGCAGGAGATTACTTTTGAGTGTGGATGGATCTTAAGAAGGCACTGGAGTTTCCAGATAGCAATTCCATCTTGTCTCTATAAAGGAGGGATGTATGTGGGAGTCAGCAGAAAGGTGGTTTTTTTGGGGTCCATTTTAATGGCGCCGGGTGAAAGGCAGACCACTTGTGCTTGGATGGAACCATTGCTAGGTCCTATCCCTCTGAGATCTGCTAGTTTCAGCTCCTGGAAATGTTGGGAATGCAAATTGGCAGCTTAAGCTCATTTGCTATATTCAGTCAAAGGCAAATTCCATCTGACCCATCCCAGTTTAAAATGCTTTGAATGAGTTGTCTCCCTTTCATGATTGGGGTATTTCACATATAAATCATCTCCTAATTTCTCTTTAAAACTATCTATCAGTGTCACAGAGTGGAGAGGCAGTGCCCCTCTTTTGTTGCACTCCTATTGGACACAGTTCCTAGCTCTCAGCATGATGTCACCAATAGGATTATGCAATGATGCAAGTTTCCATTGTTGATCAAGTTTGCTTGGGGTTTTCTTTTACCACACCTTCTACCCATTTACATATCTGAGAGGCTTCTATAGCTATTAAATTGTTGTGACCCTGTGCCATTGAGTCAGTTCCAACTCTTAGTAACCTTTCCAAGGAGTGAATGGTGGATTTGAACCACAGATCTTGGAGTTAGCAGTTCAGTAAAGCAGTTAAATGTCATTGGGGAGAGGCCCAAGAGATAAGAAGAAAGTTGTTCCTCTCTCTGTAAGTTATTCCTTGATTGCTTCTGGAATTATAGTTTAGAGACGATCCCTCTCTATTTTACTTCTGTAGCTCTGAAAACATCCTATACATGCAACCATCATTTTATTGCACATGCTTTATTATGCTTCACAGATATTGCTTTTTTTTTTTTTTTCTGCTTTACAAATTGAAGGTTTATGGCAAGCTTGAATCAAGCAAGTCTTTTCGGTGCCATTTTCCCAAGAGCATGCACTTATGTCACAAAATATGTGTCACATATTTTGGTAATTCTCACTATATCATACTTCTACATAATGCGATTGCATACTTAGTCGACTACATTACAGAACAAATGTAACTGTTATATGCACTAGGAAATGAAAAAAGTCATGTGACTTGCTTTATTGCAATAGTGTGGTGGTCTGGAACAGAACCTGCAATATCTCTGAGGTGTGCCTCTAGTAGAAAAGTGAGGAGAAATGGAAATCACCTCTACTGAGCACTGTGGTATACTACATCCGGTGCTGATGACACCAGGTGCTGATTACAACAGGTGCTTTCTCATCTATTTTTATGTCATCAATCCAAATTTTTCAGTCAGAGTTCCTAGGTTCAAGCCCAGCTTTGTTACTTACTAAGCATGTGACATTTACCAAATTATTTAACTTCTTCCCAAGTATAATGAAAACTGTTGTCAGAATAAAGGACTCAAATGTGAATATGTTGGTTTGTGCTAATTTCAGTATATTTGGGATTTACTTATTTTCTAATGTTTGGAAACACAACCAATAAGTCAGTTGACTCAGGAAAACCATGGCTTCTGTCCAAACAGATGGAATATATTCTTCCTAATATATATGGAAGAAGCACAGCCAGAGTGTTCCTTGGAGGCCAAGATGGCCAAACTTCGTCTTTCATACTTCAGACATACTGTCAGGAGGGACCAGTCGCTGGAGAAGGATATCATGTTTGGTAAGGTGGAGGGTCAGAGAAAAAGAGGAAGACCCCTAATGAGATGGATTGGCCAAGTGACAGCATCGATGGACTCAAGTGTGGCAACAGTAGTGAGGCTGGCCCAAGATTGGGCAGTGTTTCCTTCTGCTGTGTATAGGGTCGTTATGAGTCAGTACCGACTCTATGGCACCTAACAACAACAACAACAATATTTTGATGGAGACCTGGTGTGGTCTATAGGATAAACACTACACTGCTAAGCACCAAGTTGGTGGTTCAAACCCACCAGCTGCTCCTTGAAAACCTATGCAGGGTTACTGTGACTCAGAATCGATTCAACAGCACTTAACAACAACAACAATATATTTTGACAGGGTGGGTAGAGGAAATGAAGGGCCAGCATCAGTTGTGTGGCTCCTACATTATTCAGATGATTCATCTCAGACAGTAAGAGGGTAGGAGAGAAGACATTTGTTATTTGTGACATAATATTCTTAGGTAGAACTGAAACTTTTAAGATCATGAAAAATGAATGTAGAAATAATTAGAAGTTAAGTTTATTTAACTTTCCCATTATTTATCTTAGACCTCATAGGTTCTTTGACTGAAATTACGGTTTCAGGTGGTTAACACCATTATCCCATGATACCCTGGTAGAAGTTTATCATAAACTACAGTGAGTGGAGGAATTCGAGGACTTTTTGAGTTGGTCCAGAATGAGAAGTAATGGAACTCATTTTCCTCTCTACCAGGGGAGAAGGTAAATTGTTCCCAGATCTCAGTACCTCTCCCACTCTGTAGTTCCCGATAAAACAGTCAGAATTGCAGATTCCTTTCACCAGGTGGTAACTCCATACACAGGACAAGCAATCCCATGCTTCTTTTCCTGAAAGGAAAACAAAAACAAAGTAAATTATGAGAGCCACATAGATTTTTGCCTCTGTCTTGGTTCCAAACAGAAATAGGCCAGAGTGAAATGAAGTACAGAGGTAAATTGATTGCTGCTGCTGTTGAAAGGTACCATTGAGTCAGTTCCAACTCATAGAGACACTGTGTACAAAAGAACAATACACTGCCTGGTCCTGCATCATCGGTCTTTTGTCTGTTAATTATTGCTATTTTTGAGCCCATGGTTGCAGCTACAGTATCAATACATCTTGTGGAGGGTCTTTTTTTTCTCCAACCCTCTGCCAAGCATGATGTCTTTCTCCAGTGACTGGTCTTTCCTGATAACATGTCCAAAGTACGTGAGACAAAATCTTGCCATCTTCATTTCAAAGGAGCATTCTGGTTATACTTCATCTAAGACAAATTTATTTGTTCTTCTGACAGTCCATGGTATATCTGATATTCTTGGCCAATATCATAATTTAAAGGCATCATTTCTCCTTCAGCTTTCCTTAGTCATTGTCCAGCTTTAGCATGCATATGAGGCCACAATGAAAAACCATGGCTTGGGTCAGGCATAACTTAGTTCTCAATGTGACCTCTTCGCTTGTTTAACACCTTAATGAACTCTTTTGCGGTAGATCTGACCAATGCAGCACACTGTTTGATTTTCTGGCTCCTGCTCCCATGAGTGTTTATTGTTGAGCCATGTAAAATGAAATTCTTGACAGCTTCAGCCTTCTCTCTGTTAATTATGATGTTGCTTATTGACCAAGTTGTGAGGATTTTAGTTTCCTTTATGTCAGGACTAATCCATACTTGAGGATTGTATGTGGTCTTTGGTTTTCATCGGTAAATGCTTTAAATGGTTTTCACTTTCAGCATGTTAGGTTGTGTCATCTGCATATTGCAGGTGGTTAATGAGTTTTCTTCCAATCCTGATGCTACATTCTTCTTCATTCTGCCAGCTTCTCAAACTATCTGCTCAGCATATAGACTGAATAAGTATGATGAAAGGGTACAAACCTGATGTACACCTTTCCTGATTTTTAAATATGGAGTATCTCTTTGTTATGTTTGAATTACTCCCTTGGTGTTCTATGTATAGGTATTTTCTGCTTTCAGTCAAAATTAATCTGACAGACACAATTATGTTCTTTGTTACTCATCCTTTTCTGAATCCAGTTTGAATTTCTGGCAGTTACTTATTGATGTACGACTGCAACTCTTTTTGAATGTTCTTCAGCCAAAATTTTATTTGTTTGTTATATTAAGAATACTGTCCAATCATTTCTATATTCTGTTGGATCACCTTTCTTTGAGATGGACACAAGTATGAATCACTTCCAGTCAGTTGGCCAAGTAGTTACTTCAAATTTCTTGTCATAGATGAGTGAGTTCTTCAAACACTGCATCCATTTTTGAATCGCTCAATTCATATTCTGTCAGTTCCTGGAGTCATATTTGTCACCTTGAGTGCTGCTTGACCTTTTTCCTTTAATAGCAATGGTTCTTGATCATGTTACCTCCTGAAATGGTTGAACCAGTTTCTTTTTGGTACAGTGTCTTTGTGTATTGCTTTCATCATCTTTTTTATGTTTAAATTTTTTATTGTGAATCGAGAGAAGGTTTACAAAGCAGAGCATCCGTTTTACATTCAGCAAATCATATGCTTCGTTTCATTTCATTGCAATCCCCTCTATGTAACATCAGTTATCCCACTTCCTTCTGTTTCCATTTCACGTTCTTTCCCAAACCTTCTGAATTTTGTCCTTAGGCAAATGCTGCCCTTTAGATCTTGAATGGTTGACCATATCTCTCTAGTGTTGTTATCCCTGCTATATGTTGATCCACTGCTTGACTGAAAATTGAGCGACAAGGATGAGTTCAGTTCCAGACCTGGAGGGAGACCAAGGGCTCCAGCATCTGGTTCATCCAGTCTTTTTCTGACCAGTAAGTCTAGTCCTTTTTTTTAAAAAAAATGTTTAATTATGAATTAAGGCTTACAGACAGGGTCAAGGTCAACAGTTTTACATACAATAAATTATAAACTTTGTTTTTCATCTCAATGATTGTAATCCCCTCCATGCTTTCTCCCTGTGGTTCCTATTAGCATTCCACCCACTTCCTATCCCTTTGCAACTTTGTCCTTGGGAAAATGTTGCCCCTTTGCTCTTGGATGATTGACCATTGCATAGTGAGCACACCTTACTAGTGTTATTGCCCCACTTATAAACCTATTTACTGCTTGGCCAGGAGGGTGAGTTCCTTTACAGGCCTGAAGGGTTGTTAAAGGTCATAGTCTCAGGTTCCTCCAGTCTTTTTCTGACCAGTAAGCCCAGTCTTTTATTTTTTTATAAAAAAAAATAAGTTTTGAGTTTTGTTCTGTATTTTCACTCTATCTGGGACCTTCTAATATGATCCCTTTCAGAGCAGTTGCTAGTGGTAGCCAGGCACCATTTAGTTTTTCTGGTCTCTGAATCATGGAGACGGATGTTCACATGTTCCATTAGTCCATTGATGTAATTGATTCCTAACATCTTCAATTTTCATCACTCTTCTTTCTTCTGCACATGGAGAGACCAACAGCTGCCCCTTAGATGACCACTCATGAGCTTTTAATATCCCAGATGCTACTCACCGAAGTAGGATGCAGAACATTGTCTCTGTGGGCTATGTTATGAAAATTGAAACCTGATTTTTTTTTTAATAATTTTGAATTTTGCTCCACATTTTCTCCTACTCTATCTAGGACTTTCTAATGTGATCCCTTTCAGAGCAGTTGGTAGTGATAGCCAACCACTATCTAGGTCTTCTGGTCTCAGGGTTGTGGAGACTGAAGTTCACATGCTCCATTAATCCATTTGACTAATTGATTCTAAGTGTCTTCTATTTTCAACACTCTTCTTTCCTCTGCACAGGAAGAGACCAATAGTTGCACCTTAGACTTTAATCTTCTTTTGATGCTTCCTGTATCATTCAATAGTTTGTTCACAGAACCCTTCAATATAGCAAGTTGAGACTAGAATCTTTTTTTCTTCAGTTCTTTTAGCTTTAGAAATGAACTTCTCTTTTGGTTTTCTAGCTGCAAGTCTTTGCACATGTCCTTATAATACTTTACTTTGTCTTTTTCAGCCACTTTTTGAAATATTCTCTTTAGTCTTTGATTTCACTATTTTCCCATTTGCTGCAACTACTCTATGTACAAAAACAAGTTTTGGAGTCTCTTCTGGTGTCCATTTTGGCTGTTTCTTTCGTTTCTGTCTTTTTAATCACCTTTCATTTTCTTCATGTATGTTGTCTTTGATGTCATCCCACAACTCATCTGGTCTTCGGTCATCAGTGTTCCATGTATCAGATTTATTCTTGAGATGGTCTCTAAGTTCATGTGGGATATGCTTTGGCTGTTGTGAAGTTGTTTTAATTTTCTTCAGTTTCAACTACAACTTGCATATGAGAAAAGGATGGTCTGTTCCACAGTTAGTTCCTAGTCTTATTCTGGACCGATGATATTGAGCTTCTCCCTCATCTTTTCTACAGATACAGTTGATTTGATTTTGTATTCAGACCGGTGATGTCTTTGCATCTAGTTGTTTATGTTGTTGAAAAAGGGTATTTCTAATATATAGAATGCCACGAGGGCTCCTAAATAGGTCATTGGTCTTACAAAATTCTATCAAGTGATCTAGGCATTATTTACAATACCCAGGCCATAGTTTTCAACTACTGATCCTTCTTTGTTTCCAACTGTCACATTCTGATCACAAGTAATTATCAGTGCATCTTGATTTTATGTTTTATTAATTTCAGACTGTAGAAATGGGTGATAAAATCTTTAATTTCTTCATCTTTGGCATTAGTGGTTGTTACATAAATTTGAATAATAGAAATTAGCCAATTTGGAATTTGGATATGAAAGCAAATGAAAATGCTTTTAGAGAATGAGAAATCATGCAGAAAATTGACTAACTTTATCATTCTTTTTACTGTTTAGCTACCACAGAGGATGTCACTAGCTGATATGGAGAATCTCAATACTCAGTTGGTAAGTAAACCATAAATAGGTAGTTCCTAACTACCGACCTGTCAGTTTGTCATACTTTGATGATCATACTTGTGTGTTGCTATGCTGCTGGAAGCAGTATCACTGGCATCTCAAATACCAACAGGGTCACCATGGTGGACAGGTTTCAGTGAGGCTTCTAAACACAGATGAATTGTTGTTGTTGAGGACTGTGGAGTCAGTTCCGACTCATAGCGACACTGCACAGGGTTTTCAAGGCTGCAAATCTTTGCGGGAGCAGAAAGCCTCATCTTTCTCCCACGGAACAACTGGTAGTTTTGAACTGCCGACCTTGAGGTTAGCGGCCCGAATCATAACCGCTACGCTATCAGAGCAGTTGGATTAGGTAGACAGAAATGCCTGGCAATCTGTTTCTGAAAATTAGCCAATGAAAACCTTTATAAATGACACCAGAACATTGTCTGATTCTTTTGCTTTGAGCCCATCATCAAGAGGGATCAATTGCTAGAGGAACATGTCATGTTTGTTGAAGTAGAGGGTCAGTGAAGACGAGGGAGACCCTCGGTGAGATGGATTGGCACAGTGGCCACAATGAAGGACTTGAACACATTGGTGATCATGAGCATGATGTAGGACTGGGCAGTGCTTCGTTCTCTTGTACAGACTACATGAGTTGGAGTCTACTCAACAGCAGCTATCTGTCTAAGTCAGAAACATTAGACTTGGAACTTGCTATAAAAAGAGGACTTAACAGATCCCTTTGTCCCACCCATCACGGATGTTGATTCAATTTTAATTCATAGCAACCCTTTAGAACAGAGTAGAACTGCTCCTCAGGGTTTCCTTTGTATTGTGGAGAGACTGGTTGGTTTGAAATACCAACCTTGCAGTTAGCAGCTATAGTAGCTTGAATTTACTTGATATGGCTTTTTGAGTTAATGTCTTAATTCTCACCAAATGATAGGGTGGGGCCA